TAATCCACGCGGCGATGCACTGACATCCGGCGCCTGTTCACTCTCTTTCTCCCGCACGTCGTGCACTGTCCGTTCGAGCCTCTCCGGTGGTTTCCGGCGATTATTTCGTGTCATCAGTGTGGTAAAAATATATTGTGTGCCTGCACAGGGCGACGAAGGGCGCAGAACTGTGCGGCAATACCGATGGCAACTACAGATCGAGACCCAGGGCCCAGACGGCGGGAGGAACTGGATTGATTGTGCGCGAGGGCAGCGGAAACAAATCACGTAGTGTCCGAGATGTCCGGATGAGTGTTGAAGGTCGTTTCCAGCCCCAAGTGTGCAGGTCGGGTGAATATTCCGAAGAGCAGAGTACCTGCTCTTCGAGGTGTTTACCCACCTTGCTCAGATTGTGGCTGCTCGTGAGGGAGCCTGAGCAGCGCGACATTTCTGTAAGCCGAGCGATATCCGGCCAACATAAGCGAGTGTGTGTATCCGGCCAAGCGGGCCTCCTTTTGGCACAAATGTGCATCAGAAAATTGCAGACTTGAGGCAGGTTGCCAGCCCGATTGGTCGCGCTTAGACGTAAGATCCCGCATCCCTCTCACGCTCAACTTGACATGGTAGAATACAGGCGGGTCGCTCGGGTTGCCTCTCCCACCCCACCCCCTCCCCATCCTATCCATCTCTCCCGCTTCTCCCGCCCAGTCACCATCTCTGCAAGATGAAGATGTAATGTGCTCCGTGCAACAAAAGCATTGACAATGAGGAGCGAGAGCGGTGTGCCAGCCATGGACGCTAGCAGCAGTAGATTTGGATAGATCTGGAGGTATGTCTATGTTATTTTGTAGCTCTATGCACTGAGACATACGAGCTATACAGAAACGAGACACGGTACATGTTTTCGCAACTCATACTCCACACCACACGCGCGTGAGTCAAACATCGTGAGGCGCCTCTCACCACCCATGCCTGGTCATACGGTATGTGCACCACGCCACAACGCACGAACGGTGCGCATTTTCGCTGATGTGGGTCGCATAGGAGAGTCGAGACCATATCCCATTTGTGTGATGTCGCGCAAACGGGAGACGTAGCCACAGAACATCGCGCGAACGGTCGCGTGTACCCCGCTACAACATGTATGTTTTCCGCTACCATCACAAACGAGTCGACCGCTCACCCTCCGCATCTAAGGATGCGGTCGTGTATGGTCGCGCACACCGGTATGTGCCATCTTCACACCTACAAGATGCTCACTAACTGAGTCCCACAGACAGCCTCGGCTGCCGGCATGTCAACTACGTCGCAATCCCGTGTCCGACGCGGGGAGTAGCTGGGCAGAAGAGCTTGAGGGCAAAGTCAGCGCGGGGTCACCGAGCTCGGGCGCAGGCGGTTCCGCATGGCGCCTGATGCTTGTCGGCGCCGCGGAGCCAACATGGTACCACTGCGGCTGTGCAGCGACAGAGGCGAGAGCGAGGTACGCGGTCGTGCGCGCGGATCGCGGATCTCGCGATGCGTCGACGGTACGTGCGCCGAGATGGGACATGGTACGGGCGTGGACTCGGGAGGGCGCGGCAAACGTCCATCGGGGTCGTGGCGGTAGGTGGCTTACGATGCACGCTCAAAATCACGCATATAGTCGGTTGCCGGGTGAAGCGGGCGGGAGAGGCGACACGTCGTGCAGGGAGAGTATTTGTGGTACGTACCTTCTGGCCCACTCACCTTGGGTTGCAGAACGGGCCGGAGGCCGTGGGTGGGCCGCATGCGGGGGGCTGCGCAGAGAGGGAGTAGAGGAGGGCGAGGGCAGGGCGCGGGGCGAGGCTGGGATCGCGAAAGACGGTGTGCACCTCTCGATTCTCGTCTCGACTTGCCAGGACGGGCGAGACGGACCGGGAGGCGTGCGCGGGCCGGGACGGACGAAGGGGAAGGGGGCGCAGAAGAGAAGAGAGCCGGCCGCGAAAGTCGAGAGACGCACCGTCGATCTCTGGTCATGTCAATATCGGCGCCTACGCTGGCAGCTCGTGAACGGCCGCGGCCACGGTCCCATCCCCAGGTACGCACATACCTTGTCAGCGTGTCTGAGCGCGGCTGATCATCTCCAGGGGTTCCAGGCAGTCGCAGCACGTCGTACGGACCCACAGTCTTCTTTCGCGCCGGTCGAAGAGGCAGAGTCCGCGCGAACGCGTCCGAGCCACCAGCAGAAGGGAGACGACGCAATGAGTTGACGGGATGTGGCGTGCAACAGAGG